AAATGATTCACAATGAGCAAATGCCTTCTGCAAACTTGCATAAAGGCTGCCTCCGAGAAGTGGTGCTTCTATCAAACACTGGAACACACATCATCACAAGTTTTCTGTCTTGCACACTAAATACTCACCCGACTCAAAAAAAGAAATAATTCCTGGACAAAGAAAGAGACACTGTGTGAACGATATATTTTAATCATTTGGGTCTTGATAATACAAGAGAACGATTGCAATGAAAACACCAAACAACTGTGTAAACAAGGAATTTGAGAATACTTGATAAATTGACCCAAGGAGCACGAATAACGCGAGCAGTACACGTTTAAAAAAAAGCCATGTCTTCATTGTGTAAAGGTAGATTATGAGTCACGTGACAACAAATCTGTAAGTAACTCTACAATATTTGGTGCTTTCTCAGCGTCAGTTCAATCAGAAAAAGCTCAAAAGACTTTCTTTATTTATAGAAATCAACTGAAACCTCTGAGTTGGGCTTGTACATTTTTTGAGCCAATGTGAAGGTGTTGACAAAAAAAAGAGCATCTGAAAAGTACATGTCGGCATGGAAACAAAAAACCACGGCAACGTACTTCCGCCTCCGCCTTCTGATCTAGGATTGGGACAGTCCTTAGACATGTGTCCAGTATGACCCCATAGACAAGTTGATTTTCTAATACAAGTGCCCTTTGCAAATGAGAAATTGCCTTGCCCTTTCAAGAACAAAGTTCCTGCCCTGAAAAAATGTTTACAATTTCATCTTGAAGATCTTGGATCACTAAAGTCTAGTGCTGCATTATGTTTCTTTCTTTTCTTCCTGCCAAACCATGGGACACAAGTTGTTATCTGAATTAAAATGCCATTAAGGTTCTAACAGATCTAGGTGTACATTTAAAATACACCCAGGTCACTGCTTGAAATATACTGCATACATAGCACCTGTCTACACCCAAGCCAACTCAGTGTATTCAGTTCTTTCACTGTTTCCTTTTTCAAATCATGCAAGCAACAGATGGAAATGGTCTGGTAGACCACCAAGTTTTCCTTTTCTCCCATCATGTGTAATTAAAAAGTGGCCACACGGCTCATAATTTTTACTGTGACATTTCTATTGTCAGATTGTGGGACATTTCATATAGCCCAGCATTATCATTAAGGAAAAAAATGTTTTCAGAACTGTGTAAAATGAATCCCAATTTTGACCAGCAAAAATCTATCTGCAAGATGCCCAGATGTGCATTAGACCTGAACTCATAAAGAAGGGATTATCCAGTGGGCCCTGAACCCCAATATATACATGTAAATCCTCCCACATCCTTGTATCATTATCAATCTTCACAAGTTTAAAAAAGGTAAAACTTGTGGCGTACTATGCCATCTTCCAACTTAAATGAGCAATGGTATTTCCACATTAAATTGTCTGTGGGGAAATTTTTAACAAGTGCACTTTGATTACATTTCTTATATCACAGTTCACTTACCCCCACCTCGTCCGCCTCTGCCAGCCGAATCGTCATTGGGACACTCCCTGGCAAAGTGACCAGTTTCATGGCATTTATAACACTCGCCAGCTGGCAGAAACAGGGCAAGAGAGCGAGACACACACAAAACAAAAAGTGAAGGGTTACAGGTCAGGAAAAGAAGACAAATTCTCTCCTATTCGTGCACATGCATTCAGAAATTCAACTTTTTTAAAATTTAATTTCAAGAGTCAAATTAAAAAAAATCTTAATTTTCAGTTATGGAAACACCCTTCATTCAAAATACTTGATGTATAAATTGAAAAAAAGTTCCTCAAAGCATTTATGAGATTTGCCAAAATTGAGTTATCAACAAGCTGGCAGGCATACATGTGCATCTAACTATAAACTATATCAATGAGTGAGGTTAGCATGCATTGAAATAGACAAAGCCAGCACCCTGGGCGGCCACTTCATGCTTGGGGTACAATTACCTGTTTGATCACAGGTTTCCTAAATCTTGTGCAATTGGTTGGAAATTTTGCTGAGTGTGTCTCACCATGCTCGCTGCAAATTTAATCCATTAATTTGTGACAATGCATTGACTGTGCTTTAGATGTTATTTTGTCTGTTTGATGCATCATTCCTTCACAACGAGCAACAAAAAGTGACAAAGGGCTCATTCACAATGGGTAATCTAGTTTGACAATTGCACATGTGGAACTATGAGTGGCTGCATCCATCATGAATATGCATGGAATGGTTTTCAGCTTGAGACTGGTGGAGTACGTTGCAGTTCTTCCTTACGGCACCGTTATGCAGGAAGATGATGCAGCATACATTCAAGACAATTTTTACTGCATGTGATTTGCGGGCAAACATGTTGCACCAGTAATCAGTTACAATCATTGCGTTAATGTGACTAACTCAAATCACCCGATGAATGGAAATAATTCATGTTGCTCTTCCCACCTGTGAATTAATGAACCTATTTAGCAGACAGACCCAATCTACTTACCACCACCTTTGCTGCCTGTGCTTCCCCCAGCCATTTTGGAACCACCCTGCCATCCAGTTCCATTGACTACTGTCATAGGCAAGGAAAAGAACAAATCACCACCATGTAAGCTCTAGGTGGTACAAGTCATTTCGCAGAGGAAGCAAAGCACTTTACAAGGTTCTTTTCACCCAACCTTCAGCTTTGAAACATTTCTCTAGACTGGCAACTATTTTTCCTCCATCACTAACGTATACGACCCATTCTCCGTTTGTGTGCGTACTTAACCAATCACGTACGCAAATTATATTGTGGTACTCCAGAATGGTCCCGCGATTTTCTTGGGCATTGGTAGTCTGGTTCTTGGACCCGAAAATTCTAACGATGAACCCAGCATACAGAAAATCACAGGCATGTGAATAATTGAGTCTGGAAAATAAACTTCGCCGCGCCGTGCACGTTGTGTCAACTGCTGCAACGCACGTGTAGTGATCTTGACATTGCTAGCCATGTCATTGCTGTTCTTGTAGCCTTGCCATCTGCATTCGGTGTTTCTTTTACACAGTGGCAGGTCTTAGAGTCTCTAAATTAAGATAAAACTACTTTTGAATTATAAGTACTTGTACTCGTACTCGGAATTAGAAGTACTTGTACTCGTACTTGGAAGTGCAAGTACTTGTACTCGGAAACCAGAACTTGTACTCGGCTGGCAAAGTACTCGACCTGTCTTTGTACTCGGCAGTACTTGGTACTCAGAAAAAGTACTCGACTACAACACTACTTCAGAGGTAATCAGGATGGGCCCTCGGTCCTCCAAGATCAACCATAAATATTTGGCGCGTTTAACTTCTCCAAGATCAGTCCCATGGAGAACTGAGGACTGTTAGCTCACCAGTGTCTTTGGTGCTCCTAGTTCCTGTGTCCAATCCAGCACCACCCTGCCACCCAAAGCCATTGACTGCTGTGAACAAATCAAAACAATCACATCACCGTTTTAATATATATGTGTACATGTACATGTACTTTACATGCTCTTCCCCTTCTTATACTGGATGTAGATTGGGTTTTCGAAATCTCTCTTGGGCACAGAAAATCTCACTTCAGTGGATTGCTTTGTAGCAATTTAGCCACACGTGTACAAGGCAGTACAAGAAAGCCGCGCACGCCTAAAGGACATGTACATGTACCAATGATAAGGACCATATGGGTTTCATTACTTTGCCAGTGAGACTTCAAATTTGTTATCATTAAAATAAAATGTATTTTGTTATGTAAATGTGTACATGAAATTTGGGAGCCAAAGACCAGGCTCAGTATGCAGTGGAACACAGGTCTTTGGGACTTTACCTTGGTGTAAAGGTACATTTACCTTGTATTATCAGTAACAGAAAAGAAAAGAAAACCGACAACTTGGGGCCTAAAGTTGTTCTTGTTTTAAACGAGACTGCGTGTTATCAGTGCTCTTCTTATCTGTCTTCAAGTGTAGATGAATGTTCAGTGTAACAGCGTGAATCATTAAAGCACTGGGCCCTATACTGTAATACAGAAAACAATTNCAAAACTCAGGCTGCCAAGGCAAAGAGCCGATAATCCCAGCATCTGTACACTGTTAGGTCCTTCAGTACCTGTTGATGTTCCTGGGGTGGTGCTGGTGGGTGTGGGGTTCCATCGACCTCGCCCACGACCCCTTCCAATTGCATTCACCTGTTGAGGAAATTATAAAGGTCCTATCAGCTTCAACGTTAAAAGCACCAGATCACTGACCAGGTAAACCCTGACTGTACCATAGAGGAGAATTTGCAACACCCCAGTGACATATTCTTTAGTTAGTCAATGTACAGAACATCAAAGCTAAATATCAAACAAAGAAATTTCTGGGCTACATTTTGTCCAATCCTTTGGATGCACATGTTTATGTACATGTATTTCTACATCAGCCTTATAATGGACTTCTATTTTTACATTTAAAAACGGCACTGTTTTAAAATCTGAAAAGTAAAAGTGATGGCAGCTCCAAATCGTGGCATGTTCACTTTGAAAACTTGGTATCAGACAACCACTTTCTATTTATTTACACATCCAAAACAGCAACTGCAATTCATACACTCAATTTATGAAATTATGCTTCCACATTAACAGCTTAGTATCTCTAACTATGCTTCTGCAGTTAACACTGAATAAGCCTATTACATAGCCACAAACAAAAAGGACAACATGGCCAAAGAGGTGACAAAAATGTGAAAATGTATTTTTCAAGAGATCAAAATATTGTAAGACCAGGCATTTATATGTAATAAGCCTTTTGCGATTTAAATTTGGATAACCTCTGGTACACTGAGTTATCTGATTGCACATAAATATAACAATTTGAATTCTCCAGACTATGGACACTGTTGCTATACCTTGTGATTTCGGGCAAGCTTTTGTATGGCGACCACCATCTCTGGAATGGACTGGTACCTTTGTGCCATTCTATTTATTTACCCTAACCTTTCCCAACCACACAGAATTAAACAGTAGTAAAGAGTTTAATTCTGTGCAGATAGGTCTGGTAGGCCCAAAACAGCTGGCTTTTGCACTGGGTTTAGCATACCTCAGAAAAACAAAGTCCAACAGCCTCTGTGCACAAAGTCCCATATGGGTGTTTAACTTTGTGAGAATGGGGAAGGTTAGGGCCAGCAACCTTTGGGGGTTAGGGTTAAAAACACTGTATTGGTGTAAGGCATCTCTTATGTACATGTATTAAACTAAGCAAAAGCTTGCCGAGAATCACGACGTACAGTGAATCACCAGATACAGTAGCAGTGTCTTTAGTATGGAGAATTCAAAGTGTTACTTTCTCATGAATTTAAAGACCTCAGTGTACCACATTTTCTTCAAAGTTGGGGAGGGAGATATTTAACAATTCCATTGTTTGTACGAAAGAGTTGTAAGAGTTAAAAAAAGCAGTAAAAGCAGCACTCAATTCTTCACTTTTATACTCACCGGTGGCTGCCACTTGCTACCTCCAGCTGAAAGGCCAAAACAGATTTGGTGGTTGAGTGTTTTTTTAAGCAAGAGTTGTTTTTATGTTCCCTATAAAGGAGCTGGGGAGCAGAGTTTCACCCCTTCAATGTGTTTTCAGATATCAACGCTGTGTATTTTATCCCGCACCAAGTCTTCAGAAGTTTTTATGGCAGCGCCTGAGATCATTTTGACTTCAACTTTGTCAAAACAAGACAGACTTTTCTCGTGCAACATCTAATTTTGTGAGCCTGTTCGGCCCCAAATGTATACTTTTCTATTAACATGCACAACGCTTGCAGGCCTTCACATGANTACATGTAATTAAGCAAAAGCTTGCCGAGAATCACGAGGTACAGCGAATCACGAGATACGGCAGCAGTGTCTTTAGTATGGAGAATTCAAAGTGTTACTTTCTCATGAATTTAAAGACCTCAGTGTACCACATTTTCTTCAAATTTGGGGAGAGAGATATTTAACAATTCCATTGTTTGTACTAAAGAGTTGTAAGAGTTAAAAAGCAGTAAAAGCAGCACTCAATTCTTCACTTTTATACTCACCGGTGGCTGCCACTTGCTACCTCCAGCTGAAAGGCCAAAACAGATTTGGTGGTTGAGTGTTTTTTTAAGCAAGGGTTGTTTTTATGTTCACTATAAAGGAGCTGGGGAGCAGAGTTTCACCCCTTCAATGTGTTTTCATGTATCAACGCTGTGTATTTTATCCCGCAACAAGTCTTCAGAAGTTTTTATGGCAGCGCCTGTGATCATTTTTGACTTCAACTTTGTCAAAACAAGACAGACTTTTCTCGTGCAACATCCAGTTTTGTGAGCCTGTTCGGCCCCACATGTATACTTTTCTATTAACATGCACAATGCTTGCAGGCCTACACATGTGAGGCCATGAACTAGAAATGAACTCCAACCAAAAACCCAGTGTTGGATAGGATTGAAAATTCACCAATGAATTCGTAATTAGTTGTAAAATGACTCCCAAAAGCCCAGCTCTTTCAGGGTTAAACCTAATTAATTAATTACAATAATTATACATTAATTATAAATTTTGAAGGCAAACACAAAGCCTACCAAAGGAACTTGAAGAATTTCCATTCACCATTGAGGATCCATAGGTACCGCCATTCTAGTTGGGAGACAAGAAGAAAACAAGTTCACCTGTTACTGGAGTTTCATGTGTAAATGCAGAAATACAGAGCATTATGTCCACTGCAAAACCAATGAATGCTGACCATATCCAAGTCAAAATTTGCTGAGCTGGCAAAAATTTGACTTTTTACCGATTAACACTAAAATGCCCAGGGACTTTCCAAGTAATCAGTACATGAAGCATGTCCAGTTGCTCAAGAAACAACTTCATATGTACAAGTATTAAAAACCAAAACAAAGTGTTCATACATGGTGGAAGGTATGTATGGGGAAAATGCTATTCTGCATTTTTCTCTACACATTGATATATACTTTAAAACACTGTGAATGAAGTAAATGGTACTCTTTGGAAGGTGATGGCCTTTTACCTTACTAGTGCACCCCTAATGGCCAAATGCAGTGACATAACCAGGGATACATGTACATGTAAATGCCCACACAATGCACACATTCTTTCAAGGGGGCACCACAAGGGGGAACCCATTTCCGGGGCTCATTTTAACACATATTCACACATTTCAAATGAGGGGGAGGGGGGGTGCAAGAGCCCTGTCTGTCATAATTACGCCACTGGCGAAATAAGCCAATAACCTTTTCAGAACGGTAACCGCATCAAAAAAGTCCACATAGATTGGGTCACCATGCGCACACAAATTTTCTTTCCTTTTCTGAATATGTAATTTGAGAAAGATTCAGCTAGGATTGAAATGTCTACACCTACAACATTATGTAAAAATTTGAAATAAGCCCCTTAACATTTGTATGTCAAACTGGAGTTGCAACTCTAGTCACTATCAGTTCATGAATGGTCAATAAATGAGTGTTTATTTTCCTTGAACCCTCAACCACCCTGCAAAATATCTTGGGAAGGATAAAAACAAAGTCGCCTCGTAAACATGAAGTACATGTACACTGTGCACCAAGTACACATAGCAAGACTTGAAATAAACAGCTGTGGTTTTCAGCTTACCTTGTCAGGGCAAAATGGATTATGCAATAGGGTAGGCATAGGGGGTCACTCTTTATTGTCCCAGTAGTGGCTGCTATGAAGGGGTCATGCTATTTAACATGGAGCCTAACCAAGCATCAAGTTTTATAGCATATCGTGAGGCAAGACAGTGAAAAAAAGCTCTGAATTTTGGCAAAAGTGGGTTACATGGTCTAAAACCATGGGGCATGTGACTTTCATATGTAATCAATTTTTTGAAGGCTTTCGGGCGGGGGGGGGAAGACTTGATTGAGAAACTACAGTTTCAACAAGCAACAGAGGGTTATTTAAATTCTGGAGTGCATTTGAAATGCCAAAGCATAAAGTCACTGATGAAAAAGCTGCTGGGGTCAACATGTTTATCGCTGACTGTGTTTATCACCCATTGACCCTAACCATAGGGTGTATGTAAAATCATATTGAGACCAGAGGATTTGGGACTGTTAGGGCTTCTGATCGAGAATGAAATGAAGTAGGCTAGGCCCTTAAGTAATAAACAAATGGTCATATTGAGAATATGACTTCCGAACAGAAATCAACATTTACAACAAAAACAAGTGAAAAATTACTCGTAATCATATAAACATAACGATTTAATCACTGGACTTAGATGATGAGTGATACTTCGAGAACTCACACAGCACGTTCCCACTTGAATTGGGAAAAAGTGATCTTGATCCGGCATTTTGGTGTGATCGTTATCTTACCACAACGAAACCGCAAGTCGCATTCCCACTTACGCTTGACCCACCTTTTCGCATGGACATGTCAAGCCCGAAAGGTCACTGAGTTCGGTATTGCGTATGCGCTAGCTTGCGGAGTGTGCACTCTCTGGCAGTGTTGCATGCTGGGGTGGCATGCGCGTGACCCTAGTGGTGTTTGGGGTTTTGAATCGGACCGAATGTTCAGCCTGGTACGTTGTCTCTTCAAACTTTGCTTCCGTTTTTTGATACTCTGTTACACGCTGCGGGCTACACCCTAACAGTGTACATGGAATTGGTTTTTATGGAAAGTGAAATTACACAAATGAAAAAGGTTAAGAAACGGACGAATGCGCAACGAAAATTGTGAAAGGGCAACGCACACATCGCGGCATGCGTGGTGACACATTTTGCTAGCCCGTAGTTCAGCAGTTGTTTATTGTGCATGCTGTGCACGTTAAAAATTTCACATGAGCTACATGCCAAAAGGTTTATTTCTTTGTTCATCAGACTGCAAAAGTTTCATGCCACTCCATGCACGGATGGATGTTGACAGGTCAAATTGCCGGATCAGATCAACTTTTTGCGTTCCCATCTCATCGTGATCCGCCAATTGCAGGATCTGATCCACCAATTGGGGGATCTGTATCCTGCTCCAGAGGAGGATCAAGAAAAGTGGATTTGATCCTGATCCACCTTATAACGAAGTCACTACTCACATATTGGTTTGACCATTTTGCAAAAGATAAATCCCCAAATTACATGGAAAACAGACACTTTATTAGTCTCACAATTTCACAACTGTTTCTTCGCAAAATATTATCACTCCCTGAAGTACATATTTCTCAACATTTTAAACGTGTGTAACGACTAGCTTGGCAAAGCAGCGTGTATTGTGCACTTTGACATTGCCGCCTCTCCCGCTTCTGAAATGGTCGAGCCAACATGGGATTAGTGTGGTTCCCTGGCCACAGATTTCCCAGATGTCTCTACACATAATCTTATTGAGAGTAGTCAGAATTATCTGGTCGGGTATCCAAAGCAACATAAATGCTCGTTACACAAATAAGCTGCGTCTGTTTTGTCATGTGACGTACGGCCAAGCAGAGAATGCGGATGTGCGTGGATCGTTGGATGGGAGGTAAGGATGGTAGAAAAAAACCTCATTTTTTGGCAATAAATAGGTTAAATTCTACAAAATACACTCGAACCCGGATGTTCAATATACGAAGAAGTTCATTATGAGGGTCTTTACTTTAGTTTAGGGGTAGAAAATGCAGAGTTTTTCTCAGGTACAACTACCTGACCCTGGCAGAGCTCTTTCAAAACCCCATAGCATTTCGACACCACGTAAACCGTGTTGGCTCCAAGTCACACGAAGTAGTGATTTAAGGACTCGAAGTAGAGGAGTGAGTGAAGCCATAAAAATGGAGGCTTTTCATAGACACAGAGTTTCTTTTTTGGGGAGGTTAGTCATGGGGCCAAGGACACAGAGGTAGGTCCTACTCCAGTAGACTAGCCCCAGTCTGGGGCCACCCTTGTTCATGTCTGTGATGAATAATCTTTAGAATGAAATTAACCTACTAGTGAGGGTGTCGGTCACTCTGCCCCATTTCAACTTCGCCCCATCCCCACTTCGCCCCATTGATTGTCCTTTATTCTGTTCTTCAGTAGCCCAGATGCAACAAGCAAAAACATCGATGTTTGAGTACCCAAATAGCGATCGGAGAATCCAACTTTCAAAGGCAAAAACAATGGTTCTGACTTCCCAACCACTACACCCAAATTTTTCGGCGAGACCCTAAAATTTGTATTGCCAAGTTAGAAAAGAAGTTTTCTTCTATTTCGTTGATGCTGTGGTAAAAACACTTGCGCAAAGCACTGGATCTCACCGCACCCGTGTAAGAGAATATGTGATGATGTGTGGCAACCAGTCTACTCATCCCGTGGCGACCGTTCATGTACATTTACATGATCTGTCAAGCATTAAAAAAATTGATGTTTGTAAGATTTCTTCACGTTAATTCTTAGTATTTTGTCTATGTGTCTATTTTCTGTGTTCATCGGTTTAACTCTAGGTTGTTTTGCTTGTAGTTGTACTTGAAGCGAGCATGTTTCCACAAAATTTCCTGCGAGACGAGCTTTATATGATCGCCTGGGTACAGCTGTCTGAATGCTTAGACAATTACCGGAAGAACGATGTAAACTGTGTCGCTTTGAAACAAACTTGAAGAGGATGAGAAATAACATTGATACTAGTCCAACCATATGTATTAATTCACCATAATGGACAATGCGGTCGACATTAATTTAATGCTGTAGAGTTTTCTATCAATTTTATAACTACATGTCATTTGTGGAATTCGGGCCTCCCCTCTTGACCATTTTTTGAAGGGGCTTGTAACACACTCGAGCACGGAAGGCAAAGTGGAAATGGAACAAAGTGGGGACGGGGCGAAGTGGAGATGGGGGGAAGTGGAGATGGGGCGATGTGGAGATGGGGCGAAGTGGTTTGGGGCGATGTGGAAATGGGGCGAAGTGACTGTAAACCCATAGTGACATACATGACAACAACATGCACCACCGTCCCCAGAGTACTGACAGTGTGATGACAGATCCCTTCTATAACTCAAGTTTAACCATTCACTAATTTCACGGTACTACGGATGGTTTAACTTTTATAGTTAGTTCTTACCCAGTTTGTAGTGGTACTGGTAGTAGTATCGTCATCGTCCCAGTTTTCTGACATTCTGCCCGACAAAGTCAAATACCCACAGAACTATCAAGACACACAACACAAGCTCGGGATTCTTTTTCTGTTTCGTGTGTCAGTGTTATGGCCGACACGACGTGAACTTTCAACTGTGTGCTTAGAAACTACAAGTGGTTGATGTCAAGTAAACAGTTCGGTAAATTCGAGTATGTCCCTGCAAAATCCAACACTTTAAAAACGTTGAACCTCTCCGACTAGTTGGACAATGTCTTTCTCCCTAAATAAAAGCTGCTCATGTGAGGATTAAAACAGAGGGCAGCCAAAAGTCCTCGTTGTTCACTTCTGGAAGTTTCAGCACAGAATGACACGACACTCGATCAACCGCAGATAGACTACGTACGTACGTACATGCGCATGCACCCAGATTCGTTTGCCGATTGCCTCCCTGCCCACGTGCTCGCAACCTGGAGACCACACTGTAAATCCTTTCTGAATGATTGGTGGGTTGGGATCTTGACAAAGAACTGGTACCCGGCCTGGGCCACTTTTAATTGGCTAGCACACACATAACAGAAACCGCAGCGCGCGAAAAACTTCCACCTGATTTGAATATGTTGCGTTTGGTTAAGTTAGCCGGCTCGTAAGTGTAACGTCACTTCAGTTTAAACCATGCCCACCGCACACACGCGTTTACATGGAACAGGAAGTTAAAGCGCAACTTCAGCGATTTTCCAATGGGAGCCTGCAAATCGTAGCGCGTTCACCTTTTCAGACCACCCTCTGTATGTGCGCATACGCATTCCTCAATTCCAGAAGCGACGCTGCCGGTCTTTGTGTCCTGTGTGGTATGGTTTAAAATACTGGGAGTTGGCATGGGAGGATAAATGGTGGGGTGGACGGTGGAGGATACGATGTTTGAATTTCGCGACGCATGAAAGCTGATTCTGGTATTTATTTGTATTAATATGACGAAAATTCATTATAGGCAAATTTTCGGTTTGCGTACGGTACACACTGGCTGGAGCCCCACCCCCCTATGTACGCATGGCGTACGCAACGACACCAACCATACTCCTCCCTTCATGAGTACAATGTACGTACTTTATGGAATGCCCCTTATTTAACTGGTGTACTGTAGGCCTACCGTACATGGGCATCAATCGCTGGCAGACGGGGGGGGGTATCATATCGTTTGTCCTCCCCCTTCCTGACCTTAAATAAAACATAGGGGAGTAGGCCTTTAGTTTAATATTTATATTCCAGATTTAGCTGTTTATATCTGTTGAATCTTTCCCCTTATGGGAGAAAAACTGAGAATGACAAACAAAATAGTTTCAAACTTCGATAAAATTTTCCAAAGATAACAATTATTCTAAAACTGAAATTAATTTTGCCTAACCATTTGCTTAAAAATAGTTCAAGTGGACAGAAATTGCCTCAGATCTCACCATTTAGAGAGCATCCCCGGACCCTACTCCGTTAGGGCTTTTGAAGAGCGATTGATACCCATGAGGCTACACTGTTTGGGCGGAAACAAAAGTCCTTTTCAAGAGCGTATTGTTAAGTTTGGGCCTGCTTTACTAGCATAGAAGGAGTTGTGTGTCTCCCGAATAATGGGGGGGGGGGAACATATATTTCCTGTTATTCTGGAGGGGATTCTTGTTTGGTGGGGAGGGGCATTCATATCAGTCGCAAACAAACCGTCAACGATGTGGTGGAAGGATCAGTTCGGAGGTTTCCAAGCAAACAAGCTTTCCATCCTCTTTCCTCCTTTTTTTTCTATCCTCTTTTTCTTTCTACATGTATTTCCTGGGATGCTGACAGGCCTCCCGCAAGGGAATTTTCTGTTTCCGTTTCATATGTCAGTAAAAGGGTGCCATAATAACCGACGATCGTCAATACCTGAAAAATTCCAAGTCACTCCTGCGTGAGTATAGATGCTTGGATTACACTCCACTTGAACAATTTTGATGGGTAGTCGTGGCGTACACGTGCAGTCAAATAGGCCGAGCTTCTTGAGGATTCCCAGATATTAGGTCATGCATCGCTCTGAAATAATCTAATCCAATGCTCTCTTTAAGGACAGTGTCCAGAGACTAATATAAACACACTTTATCGCAAAGCACAGCGAGGAAGCGCGGGATATTGCTATTTCCATAGTGCTGTTTGGTATTCAACGTACACGTGTTTTGAAACCTTATTTTATGCAAAAAAGATTGTTCGTTACGCATACAATACGTGCGCAATTCTTTCGCCAAAACTTACTCGTTACAGCAGAGTTCTTGGCCAAAACGTCAGAGACCGTACGTTTGTTGCAGTTGTGCAACTGTCTACTTTCTTCCCCTCATCATACTATAGCACTGCACTGACGTCTTGGGAATCTTGTATCAAGAAGGCTTTGCATATTGAGGAAAATATTCACCCAATTTTGTCATTTCTTATTTTTTGTTTCGAAAAACAATTTTTGGGGGGTTTTGCTCTGCTTATTGCTGGTAAGTTTTCATTTATTACTTTTGAAAATTTTCGAAATGCCATGCACAAGTTCAAGTCCATCTATCAAATTCGTTTCATTTGGAGTATACAAACTGTTTGAATTAATTTTCCGTTCAGTTCACATTTCAACGAATTAAACTTATTTTTCCTCTCTCCCCTCGTGGAAATCGAATTAGAACTCAATTTATTACTGTCTGGCAGGTGTTCCCTGTATCCGACCATCACAAAAGAATTGCTTTCCAATTGTGACAGAGGCTCGCAGATGTGTAGGTCCCCTTTTTAGGTGGATCTTGGTAGTGGCTGACCTTTTTCATGGCATTCGATGTCGTTCACAAACATTTGATACTTTGCCACACGTACAAATTAGAAATTCACTGACACGCAGTCACTACATTTTTTACACCTTGATATGAAGTTCTTGCTTTCCTTCCCTGCTTTCAATTGGTGTCCATTTCACAACCCGGCAAATGCGGCATTTTTCAAAGAAAATGGAGGCGCAAGAGAGTTATGAAAAACAGATAGGGGGCACACTAAAAGGTGAACCCAAAATGAGCCGGGTACACTTCTTGATAATAATGTTTGTATTTAAAGCTGTTAAATGACCAACTGATGACAGAAAACAGAAAAAGAGAAAGTATTTCTCCCAAGAACAAAACTGGAAAATGGAAGATCTGCTACTGTCACAATAAAAAAAAAATCATAGTAATCAGATGCTCCAAAATGCCCCTAAATCACTGCAAGGATATCTCAAACACAAGAGAAGAAATAGCAACTAGCAATCTCAGACAAAGACTTTAATTCTCTCTATTCATTTAACATGTACACATCCAGTAACCTCGGTATATCTACACATTTAATACACGTTTACATAACATAATATCACTGGTGGAAATTGTCCAGCTCCAATATTGTTCGATTTCTTAAACCTAGTTTGGTAAGACGCAACTTCGCTATGTAGTCCCTCTCAAGGAAGTGGAATATTAACCATTATATTCAGGGTGCTATTTTAGTAGTTTTTGACTTGGACGACTCATGAGGACTTGCAGCGCAGGGATTTGTGTTGAACTCAATCACACAGCTCTAAACCAGGGTGTCTGATGATTTTTCCATCTACCCACTGTTTCCAGAAGTACCACTAACTCCAGTTTGTTTGTGAGAACAAACTTCAGTATACGCCTCGTGTTGGTTTTGTTCAATCAAGACAATTACACAACATCCTTGAATTCTTTTTTCCTATTTGTATAATACAGGTCAGTATACGCCTCGTGTTGGTTTTGTTCAATCAAGACAATTACACAACATCCTTGAATTCTTTTTTCCTATTTGTATAGTACAGGTCCAAGAAGCTCTCTCACACGAATCCTGTCTTGACATAAAAATACAATAAATCAAACATTTAAAACAACAAAACATTGAAAATAAAAGTTTTCATCATCACTTTTCCAGACCTGCTGGGTGTTACCTAGTTTTTCCAGATCAAAGATACAGGAAACTAGAAACACATCTGGTGCATGTTAATTCTCTGAGAAAGACAGTATACCAGCTTCCAACTTCGATTTCCTCGGTTCTTTGTCGGGTATCCAGTGGTTTGATTCCTCAGATCTGACAAAAAAGAACTTTAAGATGAAAACTGCCCCCCCCCCAAAAAAAATTGAGTTTGCTCCTCCTGGACTCAAAACCTGAACGGGTCAATTTTCCGAAGGAAGATTTTCAAATGGAATGGAAGCAGCTTCTACGTGTTTATACGATCCTTAACTCTCTTTAAAGATGACAAAGACTGCAGGTGTAGTTTACCAAACTGTTGAGAGCAGAGTCCTCCATTTCACGCTGCCACGCTCACCCCTTTGCTCTACACCTGGTTCAATCCTAGATACAATTCAGTTTCCACAGTTCATTGCACAACAAAGATGAACAATCATGAAGACTTGTAAACAGATACAAATTACCAAGAGACATCTGTACACAAACACAGATAAATGTTAGTGAAGAACAAAAATCAAAACAGACGAGTTTTAACATTTGATCAATAAATTAATTGGTATTAAATAGAGTGGTAGAGCCTCTATGGACCATTTATAAATTCTAGATGTGACATTTTAAAGTTTTTATTTTCTAAGACATACAAAAGACAAATGAAGAAAAAAAATCACAAGAGTTCATTCTGGGGGTTAAGACAATTTGCAGATAAAATCAGATATTTGTTTAACAGGTTAGTACACATATACATGCATAAATTCTGTGACCTTGTGTGTGCATAAGCCAGTATAAGATAGTAAAACAACTCATAGGTATTTGACTTATTGTTTGGGCATCTTCTAAATTAAGATTATTCAATGGTAGTTGGAGGCAAAGACAAACTATATATAACTAATATACATCGATTGCTTATACTTCTCAGTTTTACATCACATACCATCTACAAGTCCTTTGGCATCTGTACATAACATATACTGGGTCAGGTGGGAACATTGTGAAGAAGTCACATTCCAAATGTCCGTAAAGTTAGGGCTCAGTGTGTGACATTTAGCTGTACGCACTGTGCATTCCACAGAATATGCACAGTGACTACACCTAAAACCATAAGGGGGCATCGTAGACATTACATCATCCACTATTTTTACAGTCGACAGCTACCTGCTCTCAATATTATTTATATGGAGGGAACCAGCCAAGACTAAACCTGTTCCAGCTGGCATGATGTCATGTGCTTTTATCCCAAATGACCTTGCATTGTTAAAAGAGTGGCTTCTTGTTACAGATGATGATCCAGACATCGTTCGGTGTAGTTAGTTCAGATTTTGGGTCATGAAAGTAGCCACCTGCTACCCAGTGCAGGTCTTGTTGCTCCTGTTTCATACACAATCAACCATTTCGCTATTGTCTCTGGGTAAACTCAGTGAGTTGGCTCTATTGCATAAGACAGCATTCAAATCAAAGACTCTTCTGGGGAATACACCTGTTTTGTGATATATTACACAAGGGAAAACCCACTTAACCGCAGCTGGACTGAAAGTTATTGAGCTTACCAAGTAAAGACAGATTGCACCTGCTAAGTCACATGACCTATAATGGGTACCAAACATCAACAAAACTTGTGTCCTCCCACAGCGAAGTGTATCGTAAGTAACATTTACCAAAAATAAAGCCTGATAAGCCATGTACTACACCAAAAAATAGGCTTCATTTTTAATAAACAACACACTTAAAACGCACTTTGCTATGGAAGGGCGCCATGTTTGTCGATGTTAGATACCCACTACAGGTCACGTGACTCAGTAGGCACAATCTGTTTACTGTAGTGAAGACTAATTGCATCAATGGTTACCAGTGGCAGTACGCACAGCAATGTTAAGCAGGGAACAAGGATTGCAGGCGTTCTTGATGGCATTTTAGATTGACCAGGGACATTCTTGCTAATTAATGAATCAATGACTGGAAAACACAGGGTCATTGACAGACAGAGCAGAGCTCCTTACCAGTTTCCAAAAACACCCCCCTTTTAACCCTGTATTTTTGCTGCCCCAAGTTTAACCGAAAATGAACATAGTTAAATTGAGTGATCAGATGGCATACACCAGTTTTAAATGCATTTTAACCGAGCGGAAATTCATAGTGTGAGTTGGTATCATTCAGGGTACGCTCTGGCATGCAGCCAGGCAGAGTTGTGGGTTTTGCGAGTGACTACAAAGTATCTCAGCAGCTCATCTGTGCACGTGTCCACTTTTAGGAGTCCAGGAATACGAAGTCGTCCGTCTCGCGCACGGGGGCGATGAGCTGACCGTTCTGGTTGAAGTGCCGCACCCGGAGGTAGCGCTCAGGTTTCTCTGGATCGGTCTGGTGTTGGCTGTTCCAGTCGTGGCAGCTTCCCTCTCGTAGAATGAACATTGGGTAGTCGGAGGAGCACTGGCGAGTTGTTGAGTTCTGAACAATCTGGAGTAAAAAAGGGGGAAAAATGTTTTTAATAAAGGAATTTGCCACAGGACGTTACTATCACATTTAGAATGTTTCCCTGAGGATTTCTAATTTTGCCATGTCTTGGGCGCTCCTGTTCTTCATACGTATGAGTGTGGAGGCTATAACTGGATTGAGACCATGGAGTGATTTCTGCTCTGAAATAAAATTCATTGTCTAATGTCAAAACCGACAGGTTAATTTTTTTTGTGTCCAAGTCTGACTGCAAAGGGAATACTTTGTAAGAACAGGAAGTGCTCCATCTACTGCTTTTAGCACTCTCCATAAAAATCTTCCACAAATTCCAAATCAATCTCTCTGGGAACGCAACACAATTTTCAACGTTCAACCGCTGGTCAAAGTGGAAACAAATATATTGTTTCCGCATTCGAAGAATGCCTAGAGAATACATGTAACTTTTTTTTCTTATTCCACTGAGGGTAACACAACAGTGTGGCGCATGGCGCTTTGCTAGAAAAAGAACATCAACATCAAGTATTTTACGTATGGTTTCAGAGTTTCAATAGCACAGTTTTGCAAGTACCTGATGACAGAACAGAACACTAGAAATCTGTTTGTGATGTAACATGTTACACCACATGCCTGTTACCACATGTTTAATACCGAATCACAAAATTCCTGGGAAGTGTTCTGTCTACTGACAGGATGTGGGGCATTTGTCCTGTTGTAGGAGCTCCTATGCACAAAAGTCCAATAGGGATCCATTATCTTACATCTGGGACTATTTCACAGAACTGGTTAAAGTCTTCCTCTGTGCGCAGGTAGAAGCCTATGGTACAGCTGGGATCCATCTTGTTGATGGCCATTTTGCGGGGTGACATGCAATGAAACGACTGCCAGAAAAGGGAAAAAGAACGAGCAGTTAAAGTTTTGGCGGCTTTGGCAAGCCTTAATGCAGTGCAGTACATGTAATTGTAAAATGTAATATGCCCTAAAATCTACATTGAAAGGATACAGGCATGACAGCAAATGGTACAGTTTACCTCTTGAAGGGGTTGGCGCCAAGCCAAAAATGTTTCATGTGTTTTTTAGAGGGCCATCTTCTCATTTTGATAACTCCTGTGGGGTTCATCTTTGGACTGTGCCATTCTCACCAAATGTGAGGTTTTCATTGCAGGTTGCCAGAAATGCTGCAATGTTTATTAGTCAATAAACAATCAATTTTCAGACCAGGTAAAAAATGCCAGGTCAAAAATGAAGGACGACTGCTAAAAATAGTAAAATGCATCTTGAACCCCATACTCCTTTTTTAATTAAAATAAAAAAAGTTAAGGCAGGACTGAAACAAGTGATCTCTTGCTGAAATACTAAATTAGTATTTTCCCAACAGGGCTTTACATGCTAAATGGATGTTGGTGTTGGTGGATTCTCAGTTAGTTTACAAACATGCTATTCCTTGTGAGGACCTGAAAACAAAATAGGTCCACACAACAGAGTTTGTGAAGCTGTTGCAAGGACTTGCTCAGGTGCACACAAAGCTACCCCCCTTCTAAAAGATCTCAAGGTATTTGGGGGTTAGGGTTTCAGTTGCAAAAGAAGTAAACACAGTTAACGAATATGTTTGAAAATGAACTTGGAACAGTGTTCACGGTTTACACAAAAAAGTATTTCCTCCAAGTGCATACTCTGTGTAGATAAATGTATGCAACACTAATGTGTGTGTTGAACTGGGGATGCTAATTTCCTCTGAAAATTTTCACGGACGAAATAAAGCACTTACAGACAAAGAGAACTCCCTGGATTTCATGTCAACGACAGGCTGACAGTAGTGAGGATCCAGATGAATTAACTTCTCCTCTGAAGACAAGAACAAAAAATGAATTTTATCACTCGCAAAAGTAATGTGCAAATAAAACAGTGACAATGGAAAATATGACAATGTAGTACAAAATCTGGATAAAAATCCAGCCACCTGTAACGTTTCTTTTAAATTACAGTGACATCCCCAAAAAGGCACTCAACAAATAAGTACAGAGTGCATACGGCTAGATTGATGCAAAATGTAAAAGGTTTCAATGAGAGAATATCACCCAGGCTGCAAACGGATGGTCTTGAGGGATTCATAAAACATCTAAAGGGACAGATGCATGTAATGGCTGATCTGGTTTCCAACAGAACTTGAAAATGCAGCATCCAAATGTACTCCTTGCTGTCTGAATTTCAGCCTTGGGAAAAGTCCACAATTGAGCATGGACCATCTAAACACAAAACCAGAACAGCTCTCGCCAAAAAACATGATGCCTAAATAATATCAAGTACATGTGAATGCACGTACAGTACTTCAGAGACAGATAAATCCGCAAGTCCTTAACACTGGAATTTAACAAAGGAATGAGTGCGTAGTAGTGACAAAGGGCTAAGGTGACCATAACATACTGTGTAAAACTTGTTGGTGCATTACCTTGGTATCCTACAAAGTAAAGCGAATGCTTGGGTTTCCCGCCAATAATCCCAATGCAGCAGTCTAGGGTGAACAACGCTTGCACAGAGCTGATGTAGATGGGGTTGACCTCGTCTCCTCCAAGCCTGACTGGCACGAGGATTACCGAAGCACACCACGTTGAGGATGCATCATCTCCCTTCTGGGGCTTCCCGCTCTCTGCTACTAAACTGGTTCTCGCTGGCTTCCCGTTGGAGTGATGAGTGACATCGTCCAGCTCGATGCAATTCTTCACTGCCTCCACCTGGGACCTGGAGGGCGGTTCCTGGGCCTTTGGGCTGTTCCCTTTCCAGCGGGACTGGTGTGCTGTCTTTGGTTTGGGTGCCACTGAGGGGGGAGAGCCTACTGTAGGCAATTTCCTTGGCCGGGCCAAACTCGGCTCTGTGGAGCTATGAGCCTGGTTAGCATTTGTGGGACGTGTGCCCGACGGGAGCACTGCAGCAACAGGGTGTCCGTTCAGTTCGCTAATGCTCTCAAAGTCCGTCTGGCACGACTGTTGGACCCTCCTTGGTGGTGATAACTTGGGTCCTTTCTCCTGCTCCACTGCAGGAGGACCAGAACCGGTGTCCCTGACAACAGCTGATGAAGAAAGAGTGTCTATGACTGCTGGCAGGTGGGGACCAACCGGCAGCTGATGAGTGGAGCTTCGGAGGGGAGAAACAGGTGGAGATTGAGGTGTGGACGGAGAGCTGTGGTCACTGAACACAGGCTGCAGGGAACCAGGACGCTTCCGCTTGCACAAGTTAATTACATCTGCTTTGTAGACTGAAACATGAACACAAAGTCATTCATGAAAACAAGAAATATGTACAATTATGTACTGTAGTCTACATGTGCATGCACTTACAAATTCAGTAGCTGCTATGTTAGATTATAAAGGACTCAACACATACATATATGCAAATCTTCTGCAACGGGATCCACCAAAATTTTCACCCACAAATAAGCAACTTACACGTTCAATCATCAAGAAGTATAACTGTTTGAAACAGAAAAAGAAATGTGCACACTCTTTACAATGTATGTGAAAAATCAATTAGGGAAAAATGTCTTTAACACCTTTTCTTTTGGAATACTAACACTCATTTCTCTGTACCAGAAGCAGAAATCCGGTACCAAAACTACACATACTGGCATAGGCTTTTTCAGAGTTGAAATAAGAAATACTCTTTTTCATCTGTGCATGAACCTGCCCACTGTGGTGTTAAAAATGAACAGCTCACATGTACATGTACATCTGGGTAAGATTATACAGTTGGAAAATGCACAGTTCTTTCCTACATGTCTTTTAGAAACTGAGTTTTTCTTTTACGGACTGGACTTAAACATGTCTCCATCACTTTGTACTGATACATGTAGATATTTCTCCTCTGTGTTGTATGCAAGTCCATTGCAATTCCTTTAATAAGTCCTTCCACAAGACCTGTCATGAGTAACCTGGGGAACAGTGACAGAGGAATGTTTTCTGTCACAGTTCACGTTAAAAGTTTGTGACTTGGCTTAAGACTGGATGACTTCTGCTGGCTTGCAAGGACTTCTGATGGACCCATCCACAACAGCACTTTGCGTTTGTTCAGTAACTATCTGCATATTTCGGAGACGAAGATGAACTTGTAATGTGAACTGCTGTTACGAGATAAATTGCCTTTTGAGGCCCTAAGAATGAATTTATCCTATGCAGGGCATAGCCAAGGGTGCTGTGCATTCCTCAAGGTAGAAAATAAAACACGGCAGCATGGTCAAGAAATAATAACAGGGGACTATTAAACTCACTTGTGCAGTCTTGGGCCACGTAGACACACACCTGTTCCAGCAGGGGATTGAGATCCATAGCCTGATCCATTGCTTCTCTGAAAAAAGGGACATATATAGAGGGTACTTTATTAGAATGAGATGTTACCCTAACTCCCTAGCTTGTGTGAAAAAGAGAAAGGTACCTGTTGGATATGGAGCTGTTGGGATTTCCTGAGCGCAGTTGAGAATTATCATACACTGTACACGTACATTTAAGTTTCATTGGAGACCATAACATGTCAATAGTGCATGTATGTAAATGTATAGTTAAGAATTGAAAATGAAAAATAGCAGACAACAGCAAAGGAGACAACTGAATCAAATCTCATGTACATGTTGAGCGCGATCAGTTTGATCAGCGAGACCTCACGAGCACCTTGCCTTATCAGTCAATCCATTGCCAGTATGAATGTCCTACCAGTATGTTGCTTCCCTTTTTTGAAATTATTTTCCACAATCAAACCCAATATACTTAACATTTTGCATATACATATAATGTACATGTACATACATGTGGGTAATTCCAGAAATTAAGGGTTGTTGTTGTTTTGTTTTAATGGCGCTTACAGCAACTCGGGCCATTTGTGCCAATAACTGTACGTTTATTCATACACTTTATTAATCAGCATCACATTACGGAGTTAGGAAGAAGGTCCAGTTTTAGAGGCAGGAGGAAACCGGAGTGCCCGGAGAAATCCTGCGAGAGCGAGTATGGACTGGAAACCAAATGCACTTAAATTGAGGGGTCCAACAGTGTGACATTTTTGTGTCCCTGTTACATCTGACCTTTGTTATTTGACATGAAAATGTCACTGGAATTGATTTCACACTATTACTACCGGTATTTGTTTGGCACGTAATTTGCATTAATTCATCACTCTTGGAAATTAGAAAATGTGTTCTGAACTTAACAAAATCATACGTCAGATGTGACAGGGTCATGAAGAAAAAAGAGACCCCTAATTTCTGGAATTACCCATGTACTTTTACAATGCATATGGGTGCACGCACATATACATGTACCAGTATATGTTATGTGGACATTCCTTTGGTTACATGTATTTAAGAAAATTTAAAAAATCTAGAGATACTGCAGCAGTTGTGATAGTCATAACAGCAGAGCTATTTCAGGTTGGGGGGCCATAAAAGAAAAAATGTAAAGTCATGAGCAAGGGAAATGGCAGTAAAAAAAACCTGTAAACTTTGAAGTCATAAAAATTCAAATGATGACGTCATGATGGCATCACAAGACGCTCTGTTATTGATGGATATCACATACATGTACATAACACTGAAGGTCTTGCGGACAAAAAAGGAATTTGTTTTAATTAGGAAACGGTGTGTTAAAAGCAATGTTAAAATATGAAAAATAATTCACAGTAACTACACCATGATGTCAGGATGACTTCACTTCATTTTTCATCTTAAACGCATCCCTATTAAAGCATCTGCAACATTTCAACGGAATTAGACTTGTAATGAGAAAGATTCAGCCCTGAGTTACAAAAACTAAAAGAAACCCCTGATTTTTCTGACACAATTTTCAGATTTCTCAGACTGTCTCTCCTCATTTTATGACAGGTGACTCTAACCCCCAAATGCCTCTAAACACATTTCAGACATTGCATGGACCTGGGCAAGTCTACGCATCTTCAAACCCTGCATGACATGTGCCAGTATTTTAATCTCTTTTGTGTTCAGGTCTACATGAGGTACATGTATGTACATTGTACATTAAAAAAAAAATTTATAAAAAAACACCCGGAAGGACAAAGGTACGGGTAGAAACAGTACATGTGTATGCCGTTTCAGCTCCTCTGGTGGAGCATAATAAATGATTATTTACAATGCTGCTTCTTGTAGTAACAAAACTTCTGTGCATTTTGAAATAAAGCATCATCAGTGGATGAAAAATTTTCACTATGCCCAACAAATCTCCAAGAAATGTTGTGTTGCCCAATGTCAAATGTTAATAGGTTACAGTCACACAGAGTTGCTATCAGTGCAAGCGAGTTTCCTGTCCCTGACAGCACCTCACATGAGCAACCAGCGCAGCGTAAGTGGCGTGCTATTATTGGAACGGGAAATGCATTTCCAAATGCTTCGATAGCTCATAGAACTGTGACTGCTATTAAAAGCCTCAAGGCAGATGTATGTTGCCATTACATGATGTCCAGTGCTACACTACTGTAAGAGATTCTGCAAAATGCTAAAGTTATTTTGGGTCCATTCCTGGACATGAAACAGTTTTTCCTTTTTTCCCGGGCAAGCAATTAAGGAAAGAAATCTTGATGTCTTTCATAAAATGCATTTCAGAATCTGAAAGTTTTGGGTAACAAATATCCCCTCAAAAACGGAGTATTCCTAAACATCAATTTTTTTTTCAAGGTAAACAAATGAAGAAAAATATGCTACCATCTTAAAAAAATATATATTTCAGAATCTGAAAGTTTTAGGTAATATCCCCACTCAAAATGCAACAGATATTAACTATTTTCAGTTGGGTGCCAGAAATCTGTGTATTCATCCCAGCTGCTGTCCAACGCAACACTGTAAATCTATTGCTCCGACAGGGAGCCCACTGTGAACGCGCTGTTCGCATGAGCATGGGAAAGAAGTTTTGCGTGCTTATCTCCTCCGAGCAGAAGCAGATAATGATATGCGACTTCTCTTTGGTGGAGACGCACTTGCATCACGCTCATGTGTGCATGATGTGGGCTGTGCTGACCACATATATTCACTTTCAGTTGGTAATTGCATTGGGTACCTTGAAAGTTGGAATAGTCTCCATAGCCTCTCTCTTCCCCACCAATGAGGGGGCACTTCCACACAAAGCAGATAGATTTTTCGTGCTCTGTGACTATTTGACTCCTCGTCTTAAAACTGTACTGTATACTGGAAGAATTTACATGGACTTACTTGAAGATGTGTGCCACTGAGGCGGGTCCATACCAGTCCCCTGCCTTCTTGCCTGAACTCTTGCCTATCTCCACCAACCGGTGTAGAGAGAAGGGGCTCATGTCATCTGGCTGGTCTCCAAACCACCTCACTATCTCGTGGTGGTAGCGTTGCTCCTGCACAGTTTGCTCACTGTAGTAGTTCCAATCTGGAATGCAGGGGGTGAGATTTGAGGAAAATGAAAACTCCGGGAAAAACATGCCTAATTAAATATGTCCCTCAATCCTCCGTTTCAACAATTTCTTGCATCATGTGTACCTGCAGCTTCCTTGCTTGTTGAGTTTTCCGATTAATTTTCAATAATACTTGTCTTACCCTTTGCTACCTCTTTTTCCACCTGACTTCCGTGCAGTGAAAATTTCAACAGAGTTTTCGAGCCTTTGCCAAGTGATAGATCTCCACCACGATCATGACAATCAATGACTTTTAAAGAGCCATTTTGATCAGGCAAAACGAAGAAAAACTGCCCATACCAAACATGTAATGGCGTCTGAGAAGTTTTCTGTAAACACAGACAGTGCAGTGCTGCAGTTCATGGCACATGTGTACAGCTGTGCCAAGTCCTTTCAGGGTCTTGAGTGTTTCACCTGGTACATGTACATGTCTGACTCCAGGGTTCCACTTGTCGTTGTTGCCAAATGGTGAAAAATGTTAACTCTACATTTCCATGGCTGCCAAACTGTGCACTTAATAGGTAAATCTCTGTGGATTATTTAACAGTGTTGTAATGAGTTTCTGAGGGTGGTAGGACCGAAGTCTAGCACACATTTAATATAGATCACGACAGTCAAGCTGAGCTGAGTTGCAGTTTATGCTGTTCAGTTTGAGTCACAGAGTGATATTACACCATACAGGTGTACATGTACATGTACCAATCTTACATCCATGAAGGGTGCAGACCACTAATTCAAGTGAGAATTTCTGGCCAGCTCATTAGCATTAAAAGTGCCCCCGCAGTATCTTTTCAAAAAGGAGATTGTTTGGCCCCCAAAATGGTGAGACTGTGTAAATCGTTGCCGGGATCAACTCCCTGGGTCTTTGAGCTTTCATATGAGAGCAGAAGGGCTAAAAACTACGGTTGAAAAATGGTCCTAAGTGNAAAAGAAATTGAAAGATAAGTGACCAGACAAGAGTTTCATTTGTGTTTCAGAAATCTCAGGGATGTTGGCGTGCATGCTATTGGGCCCTGAACAGTGCGGATTTTACACTGTTTTCAATGGGGCTTGAATTAGTGGACTGGACCCTGAGGGCAGGGGATCAATGGTTGGTGACTCCAGGATTGACCAAAGGTGTTTGTGTCAATCCCTTTTGTTTATTAAATTTGTTAACTGATATGTCAGTCCTTGACATTTGTGTTGGTTTGTATTAGGCAGAACAGATAGAACAATGTACAAGTACATGTACATGTCGGCACATTATACCGGTGAATGTGTTGACACCCAAAAGGCTCCTTCCCTATGTCTCTTACAAATGCACATAATGTACTTGCAGCAGCTTGTGGAGGTTTACCAAAGGATAAGTGCGAGGAAAATAGGGAGGAAGGGATGGAGGGAGGAAAGGACGGGGGTGGAGGGAGGGGGGTTGAGCTGGACAGACGAGACTAGATGTCTCACCTCTCCCTAGGAAATGCTGGACCAATGCCTGGGCCAGCATCATCTGACCACTGCGTAGCATGCATCCCCAGCCACAGTCCGTGGTGTAGGAGGAGCCAGCCAGCTGGGGGAACTCCCGCCGGTAGGTCAGCCAGATGCGCGAGGAGAACTCCCGCTTGAAGAGCTCCATCGCCTGTGACTTGACCATATCCAAGCCGGGCAACCGTTCATCAACATCTGTGGGCAATATCAAAACAATGCTTTCTAAGTTCCTTAGAAAGCTTCATTTGTAACTATACTTGAAAAATCAAAGCTAATTGGATGTACGTGTACATTTACATGTACACTGCATGTATATTAGTGTGACAGAAAGTTTTGATCTGATGGTTCACCACACATGCAAGTGCAGTGGGACAGAATTCAGGCTTGTGCATTTGTGGATGTGTGCACGTGTACATGGCCTATTTACATTTGCAAGATTTTGTTCTCTTAAAATCAATGCAATACTCACACAAGTGATTAAAGTCTTAGCATGTGGTGCCATTTTTTTCAGAAAGTTACTTGGATTAGAGATGTTTGGGTCCTGGGTTGCGCAGCAGGTGGAGACAGGAAAATTCCAAACATATGGAGGCATCAATTATAGATTACATGTACATGTAATCCAAGGAAGTGCCATTACTGCACTGTACATGTACCATATTTACATGCTTGAGGTTTGTGCCCATTTCAGCAAATCTTGACACCCTACTGATGGATGAGGCATGTACATGTACTTTCAATTTTGTAGATACACGTACATGTATGTCTGCAACTTGAAGCTGGTGTTCACTCCCTTGCACAAGCTAAATGCTAAATGCACTAACGGCTTATAATTCCAGTCATCACATGTACAAGATCTTTCATGCACAACACATACGAGTATGGTGCGTGTACTAATATGCAGGCACTTTGCTCAGTCTTCAAAAGGTGAGGGGTGGTAATCAGTGTACTTTGCAATTCTTAGGCTAAACTCCATGTATACTTGCACTTTCAATTTTGTAGACACATCTGTGACCTGAAGCCGGTGTCTGCAATTAGGAACAAGGAAGTGTGATATCCCTCTTCCCACCACTAGCACAGAGTTTGAGGGAGTTTACAGAGACTTTTTACATGTAGCGGTACACAAGTACATGTACGTGTGTGTACATGCACAGGACATGTACATGTGTGTACATCTACAGGACAGGTACATGTACATGTCTGTCTGTACATGTACATGCACATTATGTGGATGTGTAGCTGGCAATCATTCTCCATCCTGTGTGCATGAACACAGAGCAAGCACACAAGAATCTTGGAACGGATGTGCCAATTTTGCCACAGCATTTTGCAAACTTGCACTGGAAATTCTTCTGTTTCATTTTTGATTTACATGTATCGCAGTATCACTTTACATGATACATTATATACAATACGAGTACATTACGTGGTCATCACAGGATCACTGTCATGGTTCTTGATCTTACTCATTGTAGAACTGGATTTTTGTAGGCCAGTTGAATAAGTTTTCACATGCAAGTTGCATTGCCACCCAACCTGATTTTCGTGGCAAGCTGGATTTATAACTTGTTTCCTAAAGTGTGTTTTTCTCTAATAAACACATTTTTCTTCAGACAAATTTCTGATCGAATCTGCACTAAATTTTACTTACATGTACACTGTGGACAGCAAAATGGCTTTCATTTTGTACACAACAGCATGGTTTTATTGCCATTGTGAGATGCTGTCCATGAATGCCACATTAATGCATCACGGCTGTTTCCTCACACTGTCTAGCAAGATATTTCCTGCAGCTTATTTCATCCATACAACATAAAATTAAACAGGATGCATGACAAACAGGTGATCGGTGTTTCATATTTTCATAGGTTCGATGTTTGTTTTCGCCTCTTGCGGGTCTAACACCACCTGACCTTTGCCCTCCCTCGGTTCCCTCTACATGTACACGTACATGTAAAGAAGTGGAATTTCGATCAAAATATAAATTATATTCCCTTCCCTGCCGATTTTGTTTTTTCAATTGGCGGTGTTACCCTAAAAACAATGTTCATGTGGCTTGCATGACAGTCATGTTACTTCATGTATGATGAAAAATGTGTCAGGTGTCAAATGAAAGTTAAAACACATGCACAGTGTTTATGAGGGGGGGTGGATACTAAGGTTCCCTGGGTTCTCACCTTCCTCAGATCGGTGTTTGAAACATTTCCCCAGAATCCAGATTGGCTTGGTCAGGCTGAATGCAGTTCTTGTTTTCACAGTCCAACCTGCCAAAAAAGTAAAGAACATGAACACAGAAAAAACATATTACCAATATTTACATGCACGGTGTAATATCAAGCAAAGTCAAACAGTTTTTTAGCAAGATTTCCACTCATGAGTTTTACATTTCTTGCTCAACAAACCAAGTTGCTACACGGGCACTTTTCCCACTCAAAAGTGCTTCAAAATTTATTGATTGCATATTCATTTTTTTTTAAATGCCTAAATTACATACACTGTATGTACCATACATGTACATTGTACATGTCTCCCATCAAAGAGAAAATATTACATCAGCTATTTTATTAGTTTTTGAATAATACTAATTAAATATGAAACGACCCTCAGACTTTCTAATGTGAATTTCAGTGTTTAACATACGGTATAGTATTGTAGATACTGGTACCAGAGTACACGCGCAGTACATGTACTTGTGTGTACATGTACACATTCCAGCACTACCGGTATGTACATACATGTACATGTACATTGAAAGCATTGTACCAGTTTTTCATTGTATCTCCAGGAAAATACATGTAAACTGCACCCAATTACGTGGGTAAATATTCTGGAAATTACTATGGAGGCACACTGGTAAAAACCACAAAACAATAGCTTCCAATAGGCTACTGCACATGTACATGTAAAAGTTTACATGTGTAAATGGATTCATTTCATGATAGTAAGCTGAACAAAATGTACATGAACAATACTTTCAGCATGGTCATACATGTACATGTATATCAACTGGAACATGCATGTAGTGAATGTACATGTACATGTATGTTGCATACAAAAATTCCTTATGAACCATAAATAATGTACACATACACTTTTTTGTAAATGGACCAAAATTATGGTGTACATCAGTGGCATATCCAGCTTTTATGGTGTTTGTGTGTGTGTGTGTGTGGGGGGCAGATTCAAAAGCGAATGCGGCTTTGGGCTCATTCGACATGATTTTGGGGGAGAAAGAAAATATCATAAGCCTTATTCATGGTCCCGACATCTTTGCTTTTATTTCATGGTGGTGTGTTTTTAGGGTTTTGGTGTTCATAAATATATAAATTATGAGTAGGCAACATTCTTACACACATGTTTGAAGTATTTTTTGTAAAAAAAAATCTGTCAGGGACTTTTGCCCCTCCCTGTCTTTCCCCCTTCCTGCTGGATACGCCACTGGTGTACTTGTCCATGCTATTTACATACATGTACATAGTTCTTTAACTACATGTAGTACATGCACAAGCACCAGTACATGACTCGTAATACGTACTGTGCACGCCAATAAATTTACAGGTACATTAATTGTACCTTGATTGGTATTATCATTACTATAGACTCTATAAATATTCATGAGGAAATTGTAGCGCTTGGCCAATTTGCCGCACGTTCGGCAAATACTTATACGTGTGCAGGTGACATCATCCCAGTGAGCATCCAGTTTGCTGCCGTATGGTAGTTGTTTTTCTGGTGGCACTAAAAATTCTATAGCTGAAACCTGTCTTACTGACATGTAAACTGTCTTCATGGAACTAGTCTGTCATGTCTGTTAGAACTACCTGTATGTAGCAGTTCCTGCCAGACACGCAAAACGCTCTTGCTCAGAAACAAATTGTATGGTGACATTGAATTTGAAATGTTCTCTATTTGCTCATGAAAAATTTTATGCGGTGTAGTAAAAACAAATACAGCATGGTTTATTTTGGGAAGTAGTGAGAATTACTGGTCCCTCGGTGTACAGTGTACATGTGGGTCAGCTAGACTACCTCCGTCTGCTTCCTGTTGGGAGGTTCATTGTACATGTAGTCAAGCTGATGACCTAAACCTTGGGACCAGTACCAATTCCCACTACTTCCTCTCAAACCATGCACTGTCATAAATGCACTACCATACCGGTACATGTACATACATACAGGTGACTGTGCCAAAGTACATGGACATACGTGTGCATGTTATAGGCCTACATGTACATGCATAAAGTACCTGTATGTAAATTCTGCAGGTGCCTATTCCATTATTTGGTGGAAATCCTCACTTCCATTTGGCCTCAAGTAGAGGATAATAAAAATTAAGCCTCATCATTTGTCGCGATTGTGAATACACTTATGAGCAGAGGTAAACTGCATTATTAGTTGATGTGCTTTGACAAATTCTGGACTTTAGTACATGTAAAGTGCAGGTACTAGCACATGTACACGCATTTCCCAAGGAAATACATGTACATGTACATGTAGGACTCAACAGCAAACTTGCAACATCTGGCCATGATCTAATAAGAGTAGAGGTTGAGTGCAACTGTGGTACAGCCCCTGGCCAAATAGAATCGCACTTTCTTCACCCATTAAAACCATCAGTTGTTTTAGAAATTGGAGGTTGGCTTGGGGGAAAGATCTTAATAGGGAACAGGAGTAGAGATTGAGGGTGGGAATTTACGTTTATTTTGAAAAACGTTTGGAAAACTTTCCCATACCATTTAAAAAATATTTTAAACATTTTGCCAACAATTTATAGAGGCCACCACTGCCTATGTTGATGTTTTCATGTGCATAATTATGGTAGTTCAACAATGCACATGGCCCAACCAAATGTAAAAATGTAGATTGATCTTGGGACATTTAAACAAGCAGTGTGTATTGTTTTAGAATCCACTTTCTTCTCAAAAGTACATGGATGCCCAAAGGGAAAAGTGGTCTGAAACTCAGATTACATTTTACAGCCATCCTTTGCAATAAAATGAACGTCAGATTGCATTAATCAAAATGCCAAACCTCTAAAAGGGCCGCGGTTCCGTTTAAACGTTTGGGAAAATCTTCTATAAACGGGTTTGGAACTTGTTTCATTTAAACGTTCAAAAGGGTAAACGTCCCACCCTTAGCAGTGGTTGGGTAAACTGTGTGTGATTCTATTTTAGTGGGGATAGGAGAATGCCACAATTGCACTCAGACTCTGTTGTACACACATATGTATGTCAATATACTGTATGCATGTGTACACAAACACAATAACCCAATTAGCAACACTTTATGAGAAACACTTGTAAATAATAAGCAAATTTTGGGTTCACAATTGAACACAAAATCCTATGAACTACATGTAAGAGTCTCTAAACTTGTCCGGAAAAGCATGGAAAGTACTTTTTTTAAAAGGTGCGAAATACATGTAGAGTTTTGATACATACAGGTACATGACAGAAGTCTGAAAAAAAATAAGTGTCTTTCATGATTGACGCAATTGTACATAACATGTACATTACTATGTTCTGACTATTCTCTAGAGACCATAACTATTCAGTTAACAGTTTATCTATATGTGTACAAAGCAATCTACTGTGTAGTACTATTTGCAATAAACTTCATGTCACTAAAGACAATAATTATGTACATGTATTAAAACATTAAACACCGGTTTAAAAACAAAAGGGAAATAATTTTTGAGACTTTAACTACTAAAAAGGGAGCATGTAAAAGAGAAATGTTAGATTCTATTCTATTCAATTCCAAGTTATACTATGGTACATATACACGTACTTGTTATTTCCAGGGGGGGTCCAAAGTTCCCTTTATTTCTGACTCATTAAAACAAACCTTCAAAATCCTGCACCTGCCTTTGCTGGGTTGTGATGCAGCATATTACGACAGCATGAGTCAGCCATTATAAAATCACACATCATTCTGCATGGAGCTTGACTGAGTTGCACTTTTGTTTAGATAAAGGAAATAAGCCGTGGCTGGGTTTTTGACAGTTCCATGGCTAACTTTTACTGCTATCGGTAAATGTATACCAGTGGTGGGTTTTAGGCAGTTCCCTGGCTAACTTCTGCTGTATTCCTGTGCTCGGTTTTGGGCAGTTCCCTGGCTAACTTCTGCTGTATTCCTGTGCTTGGTTTTGGGCAGTTCCCTGGCTAACTTCTGCTGTATTCCTGTGCTCGGTTTTGGGCAATTCACTGGTTAACTTCTGCTGTATTCCTGTGCTCGGTTTTGGGCAGTTCCCTGGCTAACTTCTGCTGTATTCCTGTGCTCGGTTTTGGGCAGTTCCCTGGCTAACTTCTGCTGTATTCCTGTGCTCGGTTTTGGGCAGTTCACTGGCTAACTTCTGCTCTTAAATGTATTTTGGTCTAAGGGTGGAAATCTATGCCTATTGGTACTTTGATAAATGTTAAGGACAGGTTTCCCATTCTGTATAAGCACTTAGCCAACACTTTACAGAAGCCGCTAGGGCCTACATACATGTACATTGGTGTTAATATAAATTATGGTCATGTACATGTATATATGTACATGTACTTCATCAATAATGCACATGATTGGCCCAATGTACCAGCTACATGTACAGGTAGGATGGTACCGTATCAGCAGATCAATGTTGGAAGGCATTCAAAACTAGCAAGTTTTCTTGTTTTAAATCAAATTTGAGGATAAAAGGAATGCATTTATATGGACTGCTTAAAAATGAGTGCCAGATCACGCCAGTCAAATGTTGAACCTGGAAACAAATTTATGGGTTCTGTTAAACTTTTGGAAAAATCTGTAAACTTTAACTGGACGTTTTTCATTTCAACGTTTTAAAAGTGTAAATGTCACACCCTTCATGTACATGTACATGTAATGTTGTCACACAGTACAAGGCTTTGCTCCCTCAGGCCTGTGAATAGCCAGATAAGGGGCCCTATTTCCTCATGTATTAACATGACAGAACTGTGTGAGCACCAAAAAAAAACCGGGTACTTTGCGTCTAAATACATGTACAGTAAGATACAATCATTTCCATACCGGTAGCTGTATTAGCAAGGATGTTATCTGAAGGGATGCACTGGGTGTGACATTCCCAACCCACTATTCATTTGTTCCATCACAAAATCAAAATTCTCAGCAAAATTTCATGTGGAGAGAGTCTCCAAACGGACACATCTCCAACAAGAGCACTACACCAGTTGTCTGATGTACAATTTCATCCTTTTTTGAACATGTTGAATGTTGCTCCTCATCAATGCTAGCTGCCTCTC